CCTAGGAAGAACAGCAGAAAATTCCAAACAACAGTTTGTTGCAGAATGGGGGTTTTCCTTCTCAGAACCTTTAAAAATAACTACCTGCCCCTAAAGCCTCGCAGTCGTGTAGGGTCCACCTGTGTGTGGTACTCTTGCAGCTGCCCTGGCCAGTTCAATAAATTCCTGTTTGCTTTTTTATTAAATTATCAGCCTCCGGTGGTCTTATTTTGAACCCAGGGTTCGACCCCACAACATTCTGGAGTAATAAGGTATCCCCATCCCATCTTAGACATTTCACGGCCCTGGAAAAAGCTCATAGACCCTATAATGAAGGACAAATATGTCAGCATTTCCTTACTAAAGGAGGAATCAGGCTTTCCTCAACCCTTCACTGCTCTTCAGTTCTCCAGACCTTGCCTCATGCCACACCCGTTTTGGGGTACACAGAAGTAACCACACTGCTCTTTCCCTCAGGGAGCTCACAAGCATTCCGATCAGGTGCTGTAGGCAGATGGGGGAGCTGTTTTGGGGTGGGGGCAAGGAGAGGAGCTTCTGCAAAGGCGTCTTGGAGCAGAGGGTCCCGGCGGCATTGAAGGATGCCGGTGGTAGAGTGGAGGCCAGGGCAGAGGGGGTTTGGAGAAAGGCGGGAGTGGAGCCATGTGGCCTGGAATCAGCACCGTGTGTGGGAAGCCGGAGGCTGCCATGTCATCCCTCTGGAGTGACAGGAGGAAGGTGGCAAATACCATCAGACAGGCAGAGAGGGGCCGTGCGTGCGTGGAGGCCTTTGTGGCGTCTTAGACAAGGTGAGGCTTGTTCTGGGCAAGGGACCTGCTTCTGGGGCCTCTGACGACGGAGTGCTTTCTGGTTTCCCTCAGTGAATATCAGTGTGTAAAGGAGTTTCCGATCCTCTTTATCTTTTACAGTATTTGATAAGTTCTGTATTATTTTCTTTTGTTCAGTAATCTCTTTTTAAAAGAAGTAGAAATAACTTACTTTTAGAAATAACTTTTTTGTTGATGTATAACACATTAGAAAAGTGCAAATATAGGTACACCGGGAAATAGCTTAATTTTAGCCATTCGGAGAGGTATGGAAATAATGATTTTTAAATTTTATCATTCTTTCAGAGCTTTTAAGCTGCAATTCTATAAAGATCTTTTCTTCATCAACTACTTAAAACCTTTAAATACGGTCTGTATAAGAAAGGCATAAATCATTTGATTATTTTCTCATTTCAGTGAAATGAGAAAGTCATTTTCATAAGTGCCCTGTTAGGATCCAGAACAACGAATTGACTTTTATTGTGCTAATCCTCACCCAACGATATTTTCCATTGATTTTTAGAGAGAGTGGAAGAGAGAGAGAAAGACAGAAACGTCAATGTGAGAAAGACGTATCAGTTGGTTGCCTCCCAAATGCTCCCAAACCAGTAATGTGCAAATTGACCATCACTCCAAGACACCAGGTGGCCAAAGATGGCTGCCCCATGTGAACACAAGATGGTTGGCACGGGAGGGCAGTTGTGGGCAGTTGGGGGTTGGGGAGCCAGGCCTGCAGGGGAGGGTAGTTAGGGGTGACCAGGCCTGCAGGGGAGGGCAGTTAGGAGCAATTGGGCCAGCTGGGGAGCAGTTAGGTGTTGATCAGGTTGGCAGTGGAGTGGTTAGGGGGTGATCAGGCTGGCAGGCAGAAGCGTGCCCCTAACCCCTCAGGCAGAGGCAGGCGAGCTGTTGGGAGTCAGGAGTCCTGGATTACAAGAGAGATGTCTGACAGCCCGTTTAGGCCCGATCCCGGTGGGGTCCCAAGTTGGAGAGGGTGAGGCTGGGCTTAGGGACACTCTCCCCCTCTCCATGAATTTCGTGCACCGGGCCTCTAGTTTTTTAATCTTATATCTATCTTTGAGTTTTCTGTTATGTTTCACTGATTTGTGAGCTTAGTCCTGTTTCAGTATCACAGCTTAAATTATTATACCTTAATTATCCTTTACAATTTTTGTTATTTGATTTTGTAGATGTATGAAAATCTTATAAGCTTTGTTATATATTACTGTTATGTTTAACTATTACTTTACAGGGCATACTAATAACTGGTGCTGATGGTCTCGTTTTTCTTTTATGACTTTGCTCATAAGTTCACAAATGTATTCTTTGAAAAAGGGGAATTAGATGTGTAAATTGCCAGCTATAAAATCAGTCATGGGGATGTAAAATACAGCATAGGGAATATAATCAATAATATTATAGTAATTATATCTGGTGCCTGACTTATTGGGAGATAACTTCATAAACTACATAAATGTCCAACCACTCTGCTGTACACTTGAAACAAATATAATACTGAATGTGAACTATAAGAGAAAAAAATAGTTAATTAAAAAATAAAATAAATATGTTCTACCAGATGGATTTTAGAAATATTTCTGATAAGTTCCCCAAATCACTCTTGTATATTTTGAGTGGGGTATTCTTCCATTTATAGAAAATTTATTTCTTATAATTTTGAGACTTCATACTTAGGAACATGGTCTATTTCATTTATTTAAATCTTTTTTTATAGGCTTGACTATTTTTTATTATTTATCTCTAAGTTTATTGTTTTTGGTTTCTCTCTTCTTTTGAAGAATTGTTTTTAAACTTCTTTAGATTGAATTTTTTTATGTAAGGTAAACTTCTGGGGAAAATGTCATTTTATAATCTGTAATATTAGCTTTATAAGCTATCTATTTAGTACGTCTGCCTCCCTCAGCTAACCAGCAGCATTTCCCATAATCTTTAAGGCAACATAGATAATGCTTTCTTTCCTTCTGATAATATCAATTATTGCTTAGTTACTGAGTATATAAACAAAATTTTTATGAAGATGACAGTACAGTGTTGACCAAAATTAGATATTAACACAACATAATTGAAAGCCTCAACTATTTAAGTACAACATTTGGGCAGCTTTATATTAAGTGGAAAAAAGCACACACCCTACAATTATAAAACAGTTTCATAGGCTTGCGTTTGCCAGCCTATCTGGCTTCCTCTGTTAGATCATTTACATGATTTGTTTCACTGTACCTGGGAATCTAGAATCTTTATCTGCTGCCTGTAGGAGCTGTCTTTATACTCAAACCTATTTTATCATAAGTAGACAAGCAATAAGAGCAGCTACTTTTTATTGAGATCCTACTATGTATGATCTGAGTGTGCGTTGTGGCTAAGAGATAGACTGGAGGTTAAAGCTAGCTCTAACCTCATTGGGCCTGGGACTGTGTTCTAGGCCTTCCCGGTTTGTGTGAGCATGTGTGTGGGTGTGTTTGGAGGGCATCAATATTGTTGGAGGGGGCGGGTAGGTGAGAGGGGCAAGAAGTCATAATTCTTAAACACCTGTTAACGCTGCTTCTGAAATAAAGAAGTTTTTTTTTTTTTTAAATAATATCCCTCTCTCAAGAGGTATTCTTTATTAAGTACCTCGATCTATTTTAAATTATAATTTTGTAGATGTTAGCCAAACTACTATTATGTGGTAGGTTCTAGGATCAGAATTTTGGGGAGCATTGTAAATTAGATTTAAAACAAATAGCATAGCCTGACTGGCATAGCTCAGTGGTTGAGCATTGACCTATAAAAAAAAGTCACGGTTCAATTCCCAGTCAAGGCACATGCCCAGGTTGTGGGTTCGATACTCAGTGAGGGCATGCAGAAGGCAGCTGATCAATGAATCTCTCTCATCATTAATGTTTCTCTCTATCCCTTCATCTCTTAAATCAATAAAATTATATATATATATGTGTGTGTGTGTATATATATATATATATATATATATATATGTATATATAATATACAGATAGTATAGTAGCTAGTATTGGGATTATCAAAATATTTGTTAATTTAAACTCATTAAAGATTATAAGGTGAAACATTATTTTAGAGGGAAAATATTCTAGTCCTTAGGAACCATTCATTTAATTATAGTATGCTAATTATAATTATAATTGATTTATGTATTAAAACTGCTTGAATTTTTATTTCTATATATAATATGCTATATATTTTCTCAAACCTAGTAAATGTTTGCATAAGCATTCTATGATTCAGAGAGACTTTATAGGCCAGGGCAGGATGACTTTATAGGCCAAATTAGTATGGCTTGTTGCTGTCTATTGTGAAACATTCCAGATATCCTAAAAGGCATAAAGTATAACATACTCTCCATATACCTAAGTTCTGTTCAGGACATAAATGGCTAGCAAAGTGCATGTGTTCTTCATCTTCCTCAAGCATGACAGCTACTGTATTTTTCTGTGTTTAAGACACCCCCATGTATAAGATGCCCCCCACTTTTCCAACCCAAAATTAAGAAGTCAATATTTTAAACATAAAACATAACACATTTTTATTTAGTTATTATCAAAGGTAATGTTGACATACCAATATTATGATATTATGCAGCATATCACTTTATTCAGCCTCTGTTGCATCACTGCTCTCTCCTTCATCACTATTAGTTCCGGACTTATCGATTTCTTCAACTTCTATTGTATCACTGCTGTCTTCTAAGTCACTGTCCATATATGTGAGACCATCCTCATAAACTGGTGGAATTTTTGGAGCTAACTTTGTTCGTGTTCTCATGACCAGCCCTTTTCTCCTCATGAAATTGAAGCACCATTTTGCCTTTCCTATAAAAATCAAATGTTCATTTCGCTTGCAAACATTCTTGCCTGACATTGAATAAGTGTGGTTGACACACATAAGCCACTCTGGTGCTGCTCCATAATCCAAGTCTTAAGCCTCAGCTCCACTTTTGCCCATTTTGCTGGTTACATAAGGCCTTATTTTTTGGCATCTTCAGAAGTTGTTCTTCCTGTTTTCTCCACTGTATGATAAGTCACTCTGTGGGAGGAGGTCCAAATTGTCTCTCTGCAGCTCTATTTCCTTGCTCTTTTGCAAAGCTGATGACATTCAGTTTGAATTTTGCATAGTAAGACAATCACTTGCTGGTATTTATCTTTCTATTTTTTGACATCTTTATAGACTCAGAACGTTCCGGTTCCTGTTGCATCTGCGCACTCCACCTCCAATTACAACATCAGCTGACGTCAGTGACAATAAGGCTCGTGATTGGAAGAAGCCTATTTGACAAGGTATGAGCACCTAGGCACACTCCTCCACTGACTTCTGTGTATAAGACACCCCTCGATTTTCAGTCTAAGGATTTTAGAAAAAAATAGCGTTTTATACATGGAAAAATACAGTAATTATCTTCTTTTCCACATAACAACAACTTTGTTTTTCAACTTTGTATAAGTGGTAATATACTGTGATTCTTTGACTACCATTTTTACATTCACCATAATATTTTTGAGATTCCCCTATGTTGAGGTATATAGTTCTAGTCCATTCATTTTTATTGACTGTACTATCCATGATTTACTTATCTGTTGTTCTCTTGATGACATTTGTTTCCAGTTTTTATAATTAACAGTAATGTTGCTATGAATGTTCTTTTACAGTTCTCCCTGTGCACATACCTGCGAATGAAATCATTAGATTGAAAGGTATGTGTGTGTTCAGCTGCAGTAAGTATTGCCAACCATTCCTAAAGTAGTAACCATTTGGATGCGCTCCTTCACTGATTAAATTGTCATTGTTCTGCACCCTTGCAGACACTAGCCATTGTCAGACTTTATTTCAGTTTGATGAGTGATATATCTCATTGTTATTTTTAATTCCCCTGATTACTACTGAGATTGGACATCTTTTCTTAGGTTTCATAGGTATTTTTTCTTAGCATTTGTATATTATGGCTGAAAGTTTTATACAAAGTTGAAAGAAGCACGAGGTGGTTACTACTAGATAGAAATGTACTGTAATTGTATCATTAAAGCATTGGCAACTTTGCAGATTTTTTGGAGGAAATAATTCTGGTGATTTTCTGGTAGTATATTAGAGAGAGCCTGGACTTAGAAATTAAATTTTTGTTTAAACTTTATGACTTTGGGCAATTTGTACAATCTCTTTGAGTCTGTTTTCTCATCCTTAAAATGAGTGTAATAATTTATGACTTGGTGATAGAATAAAATGCAATAACATTAACACCTGGCACATGGCCCTAGTACATGGTTTTAGGATGAAATAAACACATTAAACAATAGTATGAGAGGTTGTTGATACTATGGCATATAATTAAATCAACACTGAAATCTGGCAGCATTTGTGAGATTAAGATGTGGTTTGCTCATAGTTGTCCTGATATAAACATATTTCATCTCAGGGCCAAGTGAGGAGACCCCCCGCATAGCAAATCTAAGGCAGCTGTGTGTATGCCAGGTATCTGTCCTTGGCAACCCCTGCTTGTCACCATACATGAACCTGAGTCTTCCCCACCTCACATGTCACTTGTGTTTGTCTTCCGTGCCATCAGTTTTCTGCCAGTCAGACTATCAGCAGCTGTGACAAGGCTGTTCAGGTGACAGCGGATAGGTGGAGGGTAACCTTGGACTCTCGTGTGTGCCCGAGAGTCAGCGTTGGTGTGGGGGCTGTGCCAGACAGTATGGGAGACATGGTCTGGGTGTAGGGAGCTGATGGCAGAAATGCAGGCCATAGCTTTGAGTTGGTGTTATACAGACTGTTCTCGTGTCCCTTGCCACAGGAGATTCTTCACATGGCTTCCAAAGAAGTGACCATCACAGTTCGCCTCATTCGTTCCTTTGAGCATCGGAACTTCAAACCTGTTGTATATCAAGGAGTTAATTTAGACCAAACTGTAAAGGAATTTATAGTATTTCTGAAGCAAGGTATGAGACACCTTAGTCATTTTGTTTTATTAGTATTTTGAAAGAAAATAGTTGACTATTACACTGATAGTAATCTTTTGCAAAACACTTTGGAAGGTATTAATGTAGGTGAGAAGCCAGGTGCTGGCCAGGCCGACTCCCTTTCTGCACCTAAGGCTTATCAGCAGTGCCTGTCTTTCTGAAGCAGCCATCTTATATGCAAACTGCTGTTTGAAATTTTAACCCTGCAGTTTGGCTTCTGTAAATGCTTGCTTGCTTGCTTAAATGATAAGGAAAATAAGACTACTCCCACTTCAGAGAGGCCATTACATTTTCCCCAGATGAAATTAAGCCTTTGAGATCTCAAGGCCCCAGCACATAGAGGCTCTTTAAGAACTTGCAAAGAGGGCTGGAAACACCCCATATTTGGGAGACAAAGAAGCTTAAAAACATATAAATGGGAAAGTTCCTCCATGTTGGGGCCCAGAATTTGAGAGACATTTTCCTCTGGACCCGCTCGCATACTAAATGTAACTCCATCTCTCTAAGTATTGCTTGGTTCTTCTCCGGTTTTCTGTAACATTTTCAGGGAGTATTCCCGCCATATGTGGTCTCTCTCTCTTTCTCTCAAAATTAAAAACATTTAAGGTCCAGGTTTGTTTGTAACAGGCTTCTGTGTTTGGGGGTTGATTAGTAAGGGAGTGTGTGAAGCTCATTTAGGATGAAATAAACACATTAAACAATAGTATGAGAGGTGTTGATACTATGAGCTGAGCACACAGAAGGCCTCCTGGGAGCTGGCAGAGGGTGCAGGCCTGATTCCACAGCCAGCAGGCCGTGAGAGCTGGGGGCCCTGCCATCACAGAAGTGACCAGACTAGCTGGTGCTAGTTTATCATCGCACGCTCCAAAACAGCGGACATGGAGTTAGTCTCCATTTTGACGGGCCCTTGATGGGTTTCCAACTTCTGTTTTCAATTGTTGAAGTTTCCAGTCATCAATATTTGATAAAATATTTAGAATAAGCTTTAATTATTTTAACTGAAATAATTATTTTAATTATTTTAACTGAATTATTTTAAGCTTTAATTATTTTAATTAGTTTATACATGTTATAATTTACAGATCTTAGCATGCTGGTCCATGAGTTTTGACAGATGTATCACTTTATATCCACATTTTTATTTTTATTATTTTTTTTTTTACTTTGGCATAATTTCAGGCACAGCAATGTTGTAAAAACATTGTTGAAAGAATTTCTGGATACTCTTTACACAGATTTCCAAATGTGAACATTGGTACATTTGTTTTCTTTCACCCCTTTTTTTTCTTCTCTTACTCTCCTTACTGCCCCTCCCAGTTTTCTTTCTGAGTTACTTAGAAGTAGGTTGCTGACATGATTCCCCTTTATCTCTAAATATATCAGTGTGTATTTCCTAAAAACAAGGAATTCTCTTGTACAATGACAGTACAGTGATGAAAACTAGGATTTAACACTGAAAAAATGCTATTACATAATTTACAGATCTTACTGAGATTTTAATTTTTCCAACAAGGTCTTTCTGTAACAAAAGAAAATTCAAATCATATTATAGTCAATACCTTTAACCTGAAATTAATTTCTTTAATCTGGAGTCCTTTATTGTATTTTATCACATTGCCAAATTTGAATAGTACAGGCCAGTTATTCTATAGAATGTCCCTCAGTTAGGATTTTCTGACATTTTCTCATGATTAGACTTAGGTTATGCCTCTTGGCAGAGAACTTACAGAAGTGATGCTGACGTCACCAGGAGGCTCTGCTGCCCATGAGCCCCATTACTGGCAGCGATAACTTAGATCGGTTTAGGTGGTGCCTGGCAGTTTCTGCTCTGCAAATTTAATTGCAATTGAAAAGTATGTTATGGAGGCATATTCTGAGACTGGGTATGTGAATGTCCTGTTACTTCTCAAAATTTCATCCACTAGCTTAGCATTTAAAAAAAAAAAAGTATTTTATTGATTTTTTTACTGAGAGGAAGAGAAAGGGATAGAGAGTTAGAAACATCAATGAGAGAGAATTATCAATCAGCTGCCTCTTGCACACCCCCTACTGGGGATGTGCCCGCAACCCAGGTACATGCCCTTGACCGGAATCAAACCTGAGACCCCTCAGTCCGCAGGCTGCTCTATCCACTGAGCCAAACTGGTTTCAGCTAGCTTAGCATTCTTTGATGATTTCTGCCTGAATCAGTGATGATGATGATGATTGGTAGGTGGTGATTTTTCTTATTCCATCATTCCTGATACGTGTATTAGCTGTTTTTGTACAGGAAGGAAGAGCTTTATGCCCCACTCCACAGCATTTACTTGGCCATTTGTTTATATAACAGTGGAATTATGGATCCTTACTTTATTGAAGGGATTATAATTTTTAACTATCATTATTTATTTTGATGCTCTAATTATTCCCGCTTTGGCCTATGGTAGCTCCGTAAATATGGCTCCCTGTCCTTTTAACATGACCCGGCATCCTTTGAGCACTTTCTTAGTTTTTGTTAGAGTAAGACCTTCCAGACTTGTCTTGTTCTTCCCCTGCCGCAGCCCTAGGATCAGCCATTTCTCAGGGGAGCTCTGGTCCCATTACAGAGAATGGTACTGGGAAACCAAGATCTTGATTTATACATATTTGTGCAGTGTAAGTATGTATAGCTAACTTTTTAAAATGTTGTCAATTTGACTTTATAGATTTTCTAAACTCTTTTTCCTCACTTAAAAATGTTTTTATTTATTTCAGAGAGAGGAAGGGAAAGGGAGAGAGAGAGAGAGAAACATCAGTGATGAAAAAGAACCATTGACCAGTTCACATGGGTTGATGCTTAACCACTGAACAACATCAGCTGGGTCTCCCTCAGTTTTTTTTTTCCTGTCTAATTTTGGGTAGTTTTACTGAGTAAGGAGTAGGTGAATTATGTAAATCCATAGAGAAGACTGACCAGTCAACTTGGTGGTAACTATAAAATATTTTATAAGACATAATTATTCCTTAAAGTAACTAGGCTTATTAGAGTATATAGGTATATTTATTGCTGTGTTCTTGTTAGAGGGAGATTGAGAGTTGGTACTAAGATACCGACAACTATTGAGAGTCCGCTTTTGAAAGAATATCACTAAAAGCATGTTCATGAAATAGAAACAAATCTTACACTTTTATTTTAGTATCTCTGTGTGATGGGTTACAGTGTTTCAGTGTTGATACAGTGAGTGCTCTGAGGCCCTTGGTACAGGACAGAATAGGTTGTTCTTGAAGTCCTCAAGCATAAAGTGTAAGCTTCAGGTGTTACAGTGGCGAGAAGATGTGTTCTTCCCAGGGTCATTGTGTTCTTTCCCTCCCAGGACCTCACGCCTACCCCTTAGAGCAGCAGGCGGGTCACAGTTAGAGGCTCAGCTCTGCCACTCACGGCTTTTCACCTGTGTGAGCAGTGATTTAACCACGGCATTGGGAAGTGTGTTCCGCTGACTATAAGGGAATTTTTTGGGTACAGACGTTTTTGAGTTATGGGATCTGTGCCCAGGCCTACCTTGTCATTTGATTGGGGTTGCTCTGAAAGGTCGCTGTACCACATATTTACCTTTTATGAATTTCGTGCATACAAAGACCAAGGAGTTTCATACTGAGGAATTTTTGAAGTAATTGTGAAATTAATATGTATTAGGTACTGTGTTAAAACTAGATTATCTCATTTTATCTTTACACATCCCTGTAAATTAGGAAGTTTCCCCCCATTTTATGGGTGAAGAAACTAAGGAAGGGAGAGGTTAAGAAACTTGCCTGAGCCCTAGCTTGTTTGGCTCAGTGGATAGAGCGTTTGCCTGCAGACTGAAGGGTCCCAGGTTTGATTCTAGCCAAGGGCACATGCCTGGGTTGCGGGCTCCATCCCCAGTAGGGACCGTGCAGGAGGCAGCCGGTCAATGATTCTCTCTCATCATTGATGTTTCTATTCTCTCCCTCTCCCTTCCTCTCTGAAATCAATAAAAATATATTTAAAAAACGCCTGAGATACATGACTAATCAAAGGCAAAGCTGTAGTTTAACCATAACAGTATGTACTCTGAAACACTGACCCCTTATTCTTCTCTACTGCCTGCCTTGCTTACGTGGGATCATTGAAACAAGTGGATTCACAACTGCTTTAGTGTTTTTCATCTGAGAACTAGAGGATGGTTTGAGATTATGGCTTAGTGAATTTACCCACAGATACAGTGTTCACTGTGATGAATGATCTTTTGGGGGTAGTTTTAGATGCCTTCTTGCCTTTCTGAATATTATTTTCATTTTTAAATCTTTATTGTTGAGAGTATTAGAGATGTCTCACCCCTTTTTTCCCCACCCCCTTGCCCTCTTCCACCCAGATCCTGCCCCACCCCAGGCCTTCACCATCCTATTGTTGGTGTCCATGGGTAATGCATATATGCCTATAAGGTTTTTTATTAATCTCTTCCCACCCACCCTCTCCCCGCTTCAATCTGAGATTCATCGGTCTGTTCCATGTTTCCATGCCTCTGGTTCCATTTTATTCATCAGTTTATTTTGCTCATTACATTCCTTGTTCACTTATTTTGATTTTTATATTCAATTATTGATAGATGTGTATTTATTGCCATGTATTTTAATCAGTTTTTCTTCATCTTCATCTTCATCTTCACCTTCATCTTTGTCTTCACCTTTCTCCCTTCAACATTTTATGTAATACTGGTTTGGTGGTGATGAACTCCTTTAGCTTTTTCTTGTCGGAGAAGCTCTTTATCTGATCTTCAGTTCTAAATGATAGCTTTGCTATCATTGTAGTTCCTTGCTTTACATAACTTTGAATATTTCTTGCTACTCCCTTCTGCCCTGCAAAGTTTCTGTTGGGAAATCAGCTCCTATGTAGGTAACTTACTCCTTTTCTCTTGCTGCATTTAAGATGTGCCTTTAACCTTTGCTTTTAACCTTTGATATTTTAATTATGATGTGTCTGGGTGTGGGCCTCAATGGGCTCA